ACCACAGGCAGCCCAAGCTCACTACTAGAAAAGCGGACGTGACTCTTACCGTGTTGCGCAACGTTTTATATTTATAAAGGTTTGTATGGGATGTTATCGGTTTGCCTTAAAAGAGAGAAAAAAATCTCTTGTTTTGAAATAAAATGGGCTTACCTTATTGCCTTGTTGTTTTCTTTGTTTATTACTAGCGTCTCAGGCCATTTTGAAGCGTTTCCGGCGAGTTAGCGCTATGTTGGTGCTCAACTGCTAAAAAAAAGACAAGGCCGGAAACCTATTTAGAAGTTTCCGTCGCCCGAAGCGAATAATTCCGCCAAAAAATTACCACCAGTTTCGATTCCTCCAGAAAATCAAAGCAGAGATGTTGCAGTTCCATTTCCTTTCACTCGATTCCCAATTCCTCCCAGAGATCTTTCACTAGCGAATGCTTTTATCTCCAGATCGATCGGCTTTCCAATTTTGAATTTGGCTGGTTGAAACATTTGTGGACCCGTTCGCCGATCGCACAGTATGTTGAGTAACAAAAAAAATCCCGGCGAGGGTAGCCAGCGGCCTGCAGTCGACAAACAAACCAGTTAGCTCCCCTGGTCCCCTCGAGAGGTTTTGTCAAGACCGCATTGTTTTTCCATTGCATTTCTATTCGATGTTGATTTATTACTAGACGCTAGTAATAAACAAAGAAAACAACAAGGCAATAAGGTAAGCCCATTTTATTTCAAAACAAGAAATTTTTTTCTCTCTTTTAAGGCAAACCGATAACATCCCATACAAACCTTTATAAATATAAAACGTTGCGTAACACGATAAGAGTCACGTCCGCTTTTCTAGTAGTGAACTTGGGCTGCCTGTGCTATTGGCTGTCTTCCTTGCAGGAAAAGGTAAGTTTGTCCCTCACCGCTTGCTCATAGAAATCGGCGGGAAACTTGCACTCAGCGGTTCTTTATTTGACCGTGACAACCCAAGAATCAAAGGTTCGTGTCGAATCTCGTGTGAGATGAAGCCAAAATTTCTCTCGGAGCCTGAGTAGAGGGTCTCGTTTGTGAAAGTATTCACTAAAATTTGCTAAAATGGTCGCATAGTCGTCAGAATGTTCGGCCGGGAGTTTGTCTTCTCCCGCAGGATCGTCACGCTCGGGTCAGTAAACATAATTTGAGAAGATTTCCAAGCAAGATTCGCCGATGTGATTCAATAGCAGTCCCACCTTCATTTCGTACGGTGTCTTCGACGCTCCGGTTGCCTTGAGGTAGATTTCGAATTTCTGTTTCCATTTTCGCCACGAAAAAGCCGGATTTCCCGTTGAAATCTCCAGGGGCACTGGCGGTTTTAAGAATGGCACGCTTTCGCCATCTTGTTTGAGACAACGTGCGAGGCACAACAAGTTGATTCGTCTCTTCTATCTGCTTTGTCCAACTGACCCGCATGCAGATGGTTTAGGCTAGTTTGAGAATCCCGGTCCTAACACCATGTTACGTTCTCTAACGAGTAAGGGAGACGACACCACACAGCACAACAGAGTTTTTAATAGATCCGATCCGATCCTCTCACGGTCCGCTGCCCTTCGTAGTGGAGACGATTCGATCACGCTTCCGTCTGTGTAGGCTCTAACTCTACGGTCTGGTTCCCAGGGGTAGGCAGGTGTCCGGATGCTTCTCTGATCGCATCAGATATGTCAGGAAAGTCTGATACTGAACACTCTTGAATCGCAGCAAAGGTAGTAGAAAGGTCTGTTACTGGACCATGTCTTACAAATGGTTCAGGGTTGTCATGGCTTGTTAAGGAAAGCGAGGGACGAGGACTATCCTTGGGAGGTCTTCGAGTCATTCTCCTGTTTCTCCGCACTTTGCCATGTGGGGTCTGTCATTAGAGGTTTTAAACTCGCGTGAATCGAACTGAGGGCCATTATCAGTGAAGAGGATCTCAGGAATCCCGTGTCTGCTGAAGATATTTTTTAGTTGTGAGACAGTCTGGCTAGTCTTCACACTTTTGGACACCAAGCAAACCTCTAAATTTCGAGAGAAGTAATCTACGGCAATGAGATAGGTTTTGTCTTTATGCTGGAAGAAGTCCACGCAAACTCTAACCCATGGTCGATTAGGAAACCCAGTGCCTTTCATTGGCTCTATGCGTTCTCTCCGGTACTTCTCGCAAATAGCACAGCTGCTCACAACCTTGCTGATGTCGATAGAGATTCCCGGCCATCAGGCTGACGAAGCAGCATTTGCGCGCGTCTTGGTTAAACCTTGGTGTCCATCATGTAGACGTATCAATACATCTAGCCTTAATTTGGGGGGAATAATAACTCGACGTCCTCTCAGAAGTAACCCATTGTAGAGGGAAAGAGTACCGCGTTCACTCCAGTACTTTGCCACAGGTCCAAAAACGCGGCGTTTTTCGTAAGGCCACCCGTTATGTACATACTGCATCACAAGTTTCAGGGTATTGTCACTGTTCAGCTCACGGCAGATCTCATCCAGTCGCTGATCCGACGCCGGTAACGTGACAAGTACTGCATTCACGTAGCCCTCTACTTCGGCGTGTAAATAATTCCATGACTTGAACGCATGGCCTTCGTTGTCCTGAGGAGATCTGGACAGTGAGTCGGCTGTGTACAAGGACTTACCAGGAACGTGTTCGATTGTAAAGTCGGATCTCATGAGTCTCATTCGGAGGCGTTGAATGCGCACTGGGAGCTCATCGATAAGCTTGGTGGAAAACAGCGGAATTAATGGCTTGTGATCTATTTGAACTTTAAATTTCATTCCGGCCAAAAAGTGTACCCAGTGTTCTAGTGCCCACGTGATAGCCAACGCCTCTTTTCCAGTTTGGGCATAGCGACATTCTGTTACGGTCATTGACGTAGTAGCGTAGGCAAATACCCTCAGTTCACCAGGTGGTTGCTTCTGCATAAGAACTGCGCCAAGTTTAAAACTACTTGCATCTGAGGAAACAGTTGCTTCCTTTTCTGGGTCACACAGTGCGAGTACATTCTACGAAGCCATTTCTGTCTTCAGGCGTTTGAAGGCTTCTTGTTCGGCTGGGCCCCATACCCATGCATTCAGGCATTTTCCTTCTTCAGCAAGTCTCTTAGGGGCTTCGTTTTCTCCGCCAAATTGGGGCAAAATTTCATAAGATCATTGACTAGTCCTAAGAATCGTCTAACTTCTCCAATATCTTCGGGTCCTGTCATGTCCACAATGGCTTTGACCTTTGAGGGAGCATTCCTCACCCCCTGACTGTCGAGGATCTGGCCTAATTATTGCAGCCTGCTTTGCGAAAATAAACACTTCTCGAGGTTGGGCGTGAGTCCTCTCTCTACTAGTCTATCAAGAACTTTTCTAAGCCGCTCATCATGTTGGGCGTGGTCTATTCCTATGATTAGGATATCATCTATACGACACTTCACCCCCTCCATTCCTGACAGCTGTTTATCCATCCTCTTTTGGAAATATTCGGGGGACGATGATATTCCGAAGGGCAGACGCTTGAATCCGAAACGCCCGAAAGGTGTAATGAAGGTAGTTAGCTTAGCGCTCTGTGGGTTGAGGACTATTAAGTGATAGTCTGAATTGGCATCAAGCTTGGAGAATACTGATCCTTCTGTAAAGCTACCCAGTGTCTCTTCGACAGTATGCGCTTGATACATTTCACGACGAACTGCTTGGTTAAGCCTAGTAAGGTCTACAGATAGCCGAACATTCCCATTAGCCTTCGGCACCACCGCAATGGGTGAACACTAGTCGGTAGGCTCATCTAACGGCTCTATGACGTCAAGTTGGAGCATGCGTCGTAGTTCATCCTTTACTTTCTTCATGTGGGGTAATGGGACCCGCCTTGGGGTGGTCAGACAAAATGGTGTGACCTCATTCTTCAGACGAATAGTGTACTCACCCTCCAGTTTGTCAAGGCCTCGAAAGAGCATCGGGTACTGCTTCACAATGTTCTCCTTTACGTCAGGTCGTGGTGGAAAATCAGGAGAGCGTGTATGATCGACTGGATTGACTCTGTAGGTCACCGATATTTCATGAATAAGGCCAAGGCTGTAGATTGCAGGTATTCCGAGAAGCAGTTTGGATGCCCTTTTCGACAATGTATACTCGTTCCTGGATTATGGATTTATGAAGGGCAAGGTTCATAAGCGCAAATCCAAGGGTCATTAGGGGAACATCTCCTGCTCCAACAAGCTCTCTATCTGCTTTTGATAATGGCCCATACGATTCCTTTTAAAGGGACTCGGGCATCACAGGTTAACAGGTGTACTCCTGCAAATTTCGGGAAAATGTTCAATTTTATTACACTCGATGCATCTCGTCATCACCCGAAATTAAATCGGGGACATTTCGAGGCCGTTACGATATGTCTGCGGTATATCGTATTACAGACAATTCAATATGGCGGCGGTGGAAGTGAAGTGAAGTGAACACGTAACTTTCTATTATTGTAAAACCTCGCCAGAGAAAGGCCTGGTACCTTACTATTCCGGAAAGCCAAAGGAGACGTCAAAACAAGGAAAATAGCCGCCAGATTGTACAATTACAGGGACTTGTATTTTTCGTGTTCTTCCTTCCTAAAAATTAGGTTATTTAAAAAATGGCATATTGGGTTTTTGAGCTCTGTGAAAATACGAAGTCTCTCCGCTGAAGGAAAATTTGTGGGCCAACATTTTCGACCGTTAATTACGAGCGATTTAGTTGAGCAAACTTCTGCAGAATGCATATCGAACTACGCAGTTGTGAGTCTTCACAAAAGAATTGTAACACTTAGTTGAAGCAGATTTTAAGAGTTTGTATGGGAAAATGGAGTCAGAATTATGAGTTTACTCGTATACCTTGGGAAAAGGTAGGTTTGAATTTGAGTATTTCTTTTTTGTAACGAAGGACGCTTTAACCGATGCAGGCTGCATTTCCAACCACGCAGCGAAAGAGTATCCCATTCTTAGAGGGCTATTTTGAAAAAAAAAATCTTTACCCATACATTTCCTTATACTGTTTCGGCGTCATTTTGCTTGTAACACGAGAACTACCTCCGCGATATTGTCCCAAATTTCTGGTAATGTTGTTGCAGCTGGACAATTCCTCCTACCTGGAGGGTACTGACGGTTGCAGTATCCGTAATTTTTGCCACTTGACAGGAAGGGTCTCTTCTTAGGATCTGGCTTGTTTCCCTTCTGGGCGCCGTTTTCGCAGTTAGGAGCTATCCCTCGCTTTGGGATAATCTCGATCTCGGGCGTTTACAAAATCTGGACCGGATCGGATTGACAAAACCTGGACCGGATCGGATCGGATTAACAAAACCTGGATCGGATTGCGTCCGATTGACAAAACCCGGACCGGATCCGAAAAAAGTCGGATCGCCATAGATTTCCTGCCAAAATAGTCACGTAACATCTCGTGATCAAGTTTTGGCATATAAACACGACTGCCTTTTTTCGTAGCTCAGTGAAGCAAAGTTGTAATGGTTCTTTGTCGTATAAGACATTTCACAGGCGCCCCCAGCTCACTACNAATGTAACTGGCATTACAGCCAGCACACGAAAATTTATAAACGACACGCGAACGTAGACCTAGCGGTACTGAATCTTTCACACTGAACATGTTTCTGAGTTTAAACGTACTGAAGACAAATTTAACATCTAAATCAGCTTTACAATAACGTTTGGGTAGTTGTCTTAACTTAGTCTGTGCGATTTTTGAAAACCGGCCAACATAAGGAAGTTTATAATAGTGCGAAGAAGGCTTCCCGGAGTCAGATGAGGCGTTCAGCCCAGTAAGAGAAGGATAATTTTTCTTAGCTAGATACCCGTAATTGATCCCGTCTATGACCCAAGATGGAAAACAGTTTTTACCTAGCAAGAAAATAAGCTTCTTAACATCCAGATGAAAACCAGCCCAGGAATTATTGATCTTATATACTCTGTCAACCAATGTTCTGACTAAGCCCAGTTTGTAAATCAAAGGGGCGAAGCTGATATAATCAGTAAGAAGACAAGTAAACGTCTTCTTGCGATATACACTGGTGCCGAAGGATGGATGACTGTTGTCTAAAAATATATCTAGAAACGATAATTTTTTATCAATTTCCCTTTCCATTGTGAAACGAATACTAGGGTGCCTGGTGTTGATATAATCAAAGAACACGAGCGCGTCCTCCTCGCTATTGAACAAACAAAAGGTGTCATCAACATAGCGTCTGTAGAACAGAACTTCAGAGGATGAATAGTTATCTAGCCAGTTATCTAGCATATTAAGCGGGAAAAACCCATTCTTAAGCAGCAGTTGAAGCATCTAGATGTGTCTCTCTCCTTTTAATTATGTTGTTCCTTTTGTCTTTTATTTATTTATTTATTTATTATTATTAATTTTCTTTTTGGTCCAGTTATGCGCGAGCTATTTTCATTTTTCGCGTATTTAATCTTCAAATTGTAACGTAAGCCCTGACACGTAATTTATAACGTACCTTAATATAAATTCAAATGTACAACCTTTAAAAGCTCATATGCAACTGAAGATGACATGAGAATGTCGAAACATGTCTTGTAAATTTGAATTTAAAGTTGTTGTTTCTTTATTGACAGTTCTTGTCACTCTGCTGTCTTTACGTCCATAATGACAAAGACGCGTCAAAACCAGTCGCTAGACACTTTAATCTACCTAATCATTCTAAACAGCATATGGCAGTCTGCGGACTTTCCTTACATTTAGGTAGCCCGGAAAGCCGCAAAACTCTTGAACAAAAGTTTATCTTTCAAATCGGCACTCTTAATTCCACAGGTGTCTACGAACGCTATTAATTCTACTAATTTAATCTTGTTTTTCTCGTCACCACGCATGTTCCCACCAATAGTGTAGCTCCACTTTCTGCATGTACAATAATACAATACAATCAAGTTTATTGTCTTTACGTGAGGCATGGTTGCCCAATTGCCCGAGCCAGAGGCTCCTGTATGAAACGTAAGACATTCCTACCCATCCCACCCCAGGAGACCTAACAGAAATCTATCTATATGAGAAAAGTGAAATATGCTCTTCTCACGTAAATGCGTTTTCAACATTGTCTTGAACGTGGTTATATTAGTCTGGTCTCTTATCTCTCTTGGCAGTCCATTCCAAGTTCTTGGGGCAGATGCTTTGAACGATCGGTCACCCAATGTAACTTTAAACCGACAACTAGGATCTTCAAGTATCAGAGCATTAGACACCGACCGTAAAGAGTACCTGCTATTTTCCTCGATAAACAACAAGTTACTCAAATACTGTGGCGTTTTAAAATGAATTGCCTTCAAAGTCAATAAACTTATTTTATACTGAATCCTATATTCAACAGGAAGCCAATGAAGCTTGAACAAAACCGGCAGTATTTGATCGAATTTAGGCGTGAAAGTAATTAAACGCGCTGCTGTATTCTGAAGACGTTGTAGCTTAGAGAGATGTACAGCGAGTACATTATATAATAGACCGTCGCAGTAGTCAATCTGGGCCATAATTACTGCTTGCACAAGAAGCTTGGTGCTGTCCTGTGTAATATACTTTGGAATATGTCTGATATTGTGCAGATAGTATACAGACTGACAGATCTTATTGATATGAGTTGACATTTTTAAGTTACAGTTACAGTCAAACCAAGCTCCTAAGTTACGTACAGCAGTAGTCTGCACTGATACATCTACATGACCGATTTTGAAATGATTCAACTTGATCTTTTTAAACTGTGGCTTAGTGCCAATAAGGATTATTTCCATTTTATCTGAGTCCAACTTAAGCTTATCCAATTTCATCCAGTTTCCGATGCTTGCGATGCACCTCTCCATTGCATTGACTGCCTCTACTTGGTCCGCCTCCGAGTTTGGTTGAAATGATAAATATAACTGTGTATCGTCTGCATAAGCGTGTACTTCAGGTAGATAGAACTTGATGACTTCAAACAGTTTGCTTGCATACACAGTGAATAGCAGGGGCCCTAAGCATTAGCCCTGAGGCACGCCATGGAGTAAGTGAAACGTCTTAGATGTACAGCCCTCGTAGTAGATGCGCTGTGACCTTTGTGACAGGTACGATGATAACCAACTTAGCGCAGTTCCAGTTATTCCAAAGCTAGATTCCAGCCGTCTCAGTAACACATGGTGATCTACCGTATCAAAGGCGGCGCTTAAATCAAGAAGTACTAGTAGCATAACCCTCGATCAGTCCATGTTCAGCAAAATGTCATTTTGTACTTTGAGTAGTGCAGTTTCTGCCTATGACCAACCCTATAAGCAGGTTGTAGTAGGAGGTATAGCTCATATTGCAACATGTGGTCGTGGGTCTGATCGTAAACAGCACGCTCCGTTAGCTTTAAAATATACTATAAGTTATTGAACGGGGTGGAGGTTTAGAAATGATGTATCTTTCCCAGATTTGAGGCGCGGATCTACAAGAGCATCCTTCCATTTTGATGGAAAATGACCCAATGCAAGAGAAGAATTTAAAAAGCATGTTATTGTGGGTAAAAGTTCAGCCAAGCAGGCTACTACCATTGATGTCGGCATGGGATCGAGGCTACAAGTCTTTTTAGTAGTCTTTCGTACTAGTACACCAACTTCGTCGTAGAGAGTTGCCGGACATTTGGAAGTTTTTTTTCTTCCCCAACCACTAGGTCCTCGGGTACTGTAGCCTTCTCCTCATGAGTAATTTCAGAGGAGTCCAATGCTAATCTGATGTTGTGAATTTTATGGCAGAAGAATTCACCTATATCACTGACGAGAGATTGATGATCATCATAGTCAGGGAACAAACGCTGACTTGGGGCAAGGAGCTTTTTCATATTCCTAAACAGCTTTCCCTGATCTTCACTATTGCTATCTATAAACTCCGAATAAAAAGCTTTCCGAGCTTTGTTAATAATGTACGTGACATGGTTCTTTTTCTTTTTAAAGATAGCAAAGTCAGATTTGTGTCCCGATCTCCGCCATACCCTTTCTGCTTTGCGGCGTTCTCTTTTAGCCATAGCAATATATTCGTTATACCAAGGAACTTGGGACCTCGATCTGATAACCTTTTCTTTTAATTGTGCATGATGGTCAATCAGCCTCGACAGTGTTTCTTGATATTCGTAAACCAAATGATCAAGATCAGTAGCATGACTACAATGGGCGTGTTCTACACTGCACAGCCTAGACAAAGATAAGTCGTCGCGAAGCTGGTCGATATTTTAACTTCCTGTACGTTACCTTCTTGATTCTTGCGATTGGTCTTTGTATCCTCAGATAACATATTACAGATACATGATAAGAGAAAAACTGGCCGATAAAAGGCGAGTTGTGGATTAGATGGCTTGTTTTGTGTGTAATGACCACATCCAAGGTGTGTTTGTGAATATGAGTGGGCTTATTCACATGTTGCTGCAGGCCAAGTGAATCAATCAGGTCAAGGAATTTTGTAGCATCTGGGTCGTCAGGGACGTCAACGTGGATGTTAAAATCACCCACGATAACCACATGCTCCTTTGAAAGAATAACTGATTCCATGTAACCAGAGAAATCCCGAAAAAATATGCTGATTGGTACCCTGTGGTTCGGTGAGTAAGGCTGCCGATATATGATGACAATTCTAAGATCAAGGCCAGCACCTGAGGAGACTCACCACTCAAAATATTATAATGACTCAGCTAAAAAAGGTGATGGCAGCCCGTACTCGAAAAGTTCCATGACTTCTCAATAATTTTGACTCAGCAGGCATTTCAAGGCAAAAAGAAATGCCATTTTCAAAGACTCAGAATCCGCCGAGGCGAAGAAAGTATTTCTAGTAAAGCTCGTCGATTTAAAACGGCGAAATAAAAGACTTTTCATTCGATTCACAACAGATGACATTTTGTGCTCGATGCGTGTGCAAATCAGATAAGTATCTTCTTTTGCGATTTTTTGTAAAATGTATAATAAAACAATTATTGAATTTGGCTTTCGCATGATATCGTGAATTATCAAAACCTCGTGGCTTAGTTAATTAAAACTCAGACCTTGGGTTTCACATGCACGATATCATGGTTAACCTCATCCAATAATTGCTTGTGAGAGTCATGCAATTCTTCCGGATATTCAGGATAAAATTCAAGTATCAATCCTTTTTTGCTCTCTGAGGTGTATTAGGATAGATTCAGTTTGTCGATATTTTTTTTGTTTATCCATCTTGATCACCCTGTTGGGGGAACATCAGAAAGCGTGTTGATATAAAACTACTGACAAATAAAAAACTTTAATGATATTGATACAGCTCAAAACTCACTTCCACGGGAAAGCCCCTGCCATATTGCATCATCAACTTCCTGTTTCAGTCACGCCATCGCCTGGGCATAATGTTAGAATTCTTCATCTTTTAAAAACATGTCATTAACCAGAATTTGGTAAAATATGTGGTCTATGAATTGAAATCAGGTGATTTTTTCGAAAACGTTGAAATAGACTTGAGAGTGCTGGAAGGACGATTTGGTAAAAAAGTGCCTTGAAACCTCTTGTTCCCATATTACTTAAATGTCCAGAAAAAAGGGAATGACGAAGCGAGTCTTCCTCTGGACTTGTCCACGTTCCTGCTCCTCGGTATTCCTCCGATCGATCGACACGTTGTCTACAACCCATGCCATGTCAGAACCGTTTAGATTTGCCTTCCACTTTGGTCCAGAAAGACAAAGCCAGCGCTACACGTCCCAGCCAGTCGACGGGACAAAGAGCTACGAGGCAGTAACCAAGTGGATTTTGGACCAACCATTAAATGATAGGGAAAATGTGGTATTTGTCAAAGAGATGGCGCGTTACCTGAAAGGACGGCTTACTATTTTAGAAGAATCATTTGCTGATGCGAAGCATTCATTTCTCATAAGAAATCCACAAAAGGTATTGAAATCTCAGTATAAAGCCAGTACGAACCCAGAAATTCAGTCAGGATCCAACTGGACGTATTTCGACCCTGACGATGCGGGCTTCAAGGAGTTGTACGAGTTGTATCGATTTGTTAAAGATAACCTCGATGCCAATCCCGTGATTATAGATGCAGATGATTTACTCGACTCACCAAACCAGATGATGAAGGCCTACTGCGATGGAGTTGGTATTCAATATGAAGACCATATGACCACTTGGAAAGCGGGTGAAGTACCCCAGGCATTCACGTGGGATGGTGAGTGCCTTAGCTGGTACTCAAACGCCATTAATAGCAGTTGTTTTAAAAAAGAATTCATGCCTGAAGACTCGACAGCCAGTGCCCCGGATATAACCTTTCCTCTTGAGGTTTTCAAAGGCATTGAGTACAGCCGACCGTTTTACGAGAGGTTATATTCAGAGAGAGTCACTTTATTCTAAATTTTGGAATAACATCTAGACTTAATCAAACCTAAAAGCGGAGCTTTAGGTTTTTTCTAGCCCTTCACTCTATAGAAAGTGTTGCAACAATCTTGTAAGCGCACTGCGCGATACGCTATTTTCTAATTTAGTAACCAAGCTAAGGGTTGCGTTAGTTAATAATTAAGATTCGGATGTATAATTGAGTCTTTTCACAGGCTATATAAGTGTGTGTGTTTGCGTGTGTGTGTGTATGGTAATTTTTTTTCTCAAAAAGATCGATATCGATATACTGTTTAGGCTCGTAGTGAATTATAGTTTTGTTAAACACTTTTGGACACAGTTTTTCTTTGTGTGTCCGTGTCCGTGTCCACGATTTGGAAACACAGGTAACCCAGGCTCACTGTTTGTGTCACGTACACATGGTTGAATAGAGAGAACATATGGGGCGAAGTTTAGGTCCGGAAATTTGCTTGAAAATGAAAATAAAAATCAATGAAACTTACCATGTGGCGACTTGTTGTTGTCCTTAATATGTACACGAAGTTTCGGGAAAAATACTCTTCTCCACCTTTCCTTCATAGTAAAGAGACAAGGTAGGAGGCTGGCGGCAGCGATGGGGACTGATCGACCCTCAATCCAGCATATTTTTTCCCAACAGGTGTGTGATTTGCTGTTGGCATAGAATAGATTCTGGCTAACATTCCCGAAGGTGTAGTCGGACGGTGAGTTTTACCTTTGGGCAATCTGGGACTCCCCTCACTCCACGGGGACTTATTATACTCGTCACCAGGTGCCCCGAGCTCAGTGACAGTTTGAATTGGACAAATTGTGATGCCAACGCTTTCGGGGCGCCATTTTAATCGATTAACGTACAAATTTTACGGAGTCTGCTGGCCTCGTGTTTCAAGCTGGAGCTGCTTTAGGGGATTCACGGTTTAGAGTTATTCTTGTTCTACGAGCCCGACGTGTTTA